TTTCTTTTTATCAATCGATATGAGGGTCTAATGGCAGAGGATGTTGTTATGCTGTGTAAAACCTTTTGAGACATACTACTAAAATTGGACTATACAAAAAACTTGCATTGCCAAGAAAACCTTTTAATGTTTTCAAGTTTTGCATAACATGAGACAACAGAGAAGAAAAAGCAGTAGTATAGTATAGTTGTGCCAGATGTCTGTTAAGGCTCTTCCCACCGAGCTCTATCAGTGTCTCTCGGCTGTGATCTGAACACTTTTCAAGAAAGCTTAAAGAAATGTTCTTTTTAAGGCTCTTAACACAATTATAAATGCAAAAGTTGAACTCTCATTTAATAAAAAAACAGTAGAGCCATATCAATAGTGTCTGACCTGAACAATAATCAACAAAGCCTAGTCTGTTGCTATTTTGATGGCTGTTATACGGTTGTAAACATAATACCTCAAGGTTTGCCAGTTACGAGCTCTATCAGTGTCTCTCGGCCGTTACCTGAACACTTTTCAAGAAAGCTCAATGAAATGTTCTTTTTAGACTCTTAACACAATTATAAATGCAAAATTTGAGTTGAAATTTTGCATTTATAATTGTGTTAAGAGCCGTTCAAAGAGTTAAAAAAAAAACAGTAGAGCTATATCAATAGTGTCTGACATGAACAATAGTGTCTGACCTGAACAATAATCAACAAAGCCTAGTCTGTTGCTCTTTTGATGGCTGTTATACGGTTGTAAACATAATACTTCAAGGTTTGCCAGTTACGATTTTTTAGGGCCTCTGGTTCAGCTCTAAGACACCTTTCGCATTCCCATTTTCCTGGGACCATGCATGATGAAATGAATTTCATCAGATGCCTTTCAACCGCTCGTATCTCTGTCTGCGTCCACGGTGATTTCTTCTGTGTGGCTTTTCCTGAAAGAGCTGAGAAAGACAAATTTGTAAATAGGCAGTATAGGGTAAATAAACTAGCAAATCTCTCAAATCTAACACCATACTCTCTCTCTCACACACACACTATTACACTCCATGACACACACTTTATTATCCTCTCACACAGATTACTAATCTCTCTCTGAGTATAGTCAAGGAGTTTATTTGGCTTCAGAAACTCAGACCATCAAACCGAGAAAAAGCAGAATTCATCTGCTCAGCAAATGAATGGACATTTACCTCACATGATTGGCACTTCAGATCAGCTGATCATTAGTGACGGACTAGCAATTGGAGTATAATTGAATAAAGGAATATAAATAGCTCCTACAAATCTCAACAGTGACCACCATCAAATTTTAGTTTAAGGATAGTTAAGAATGACTTCAGGACATACATTTTTTCCACCACAGTGATGAGAAAAGGTGGATCTGGAAACCTGAAATTGCTCCAGTCAGACATTCTCTGATTATTACTTACTCCTAACAGAAGGCCTTGAAGGAGCATCGTCAAGAACAGCAGATGTTGACGATGGTTGAGACGACAGCTTTCGCTTCCTTGATGGTGTGGGCAGCATTACCTCAGAAAGAACTGACTCCTCTGTTGATGGTTCTGAAAAAAAATTAAAAGTCAGCTTTTACATCAAAATATGAATTGTACTTGCAAAGCACCACATACTGTTGACAATAAAGAATGTATGTCAGTTTATGACTTTTAATTAGTGCACTGAAACAAAGTATAGTCGGTACGGTTAATAAATATTTATTATCATTTGAGAGTTTTAAAACTGAGCTGGCCTCCAGAAACCTCCTCATGAGCAAGAATTTAAAAAGTACATCATAAACTATTATTTTTGCTATCATTTATTTATTTTATGTAAATGTAGCAATCAGTAAGCCCATTAGTCACATCTGGGAGCTCAGGAGCTTCCCAACATGGCTCATAGAATAGAGGCAAAGCATATATTGAGAATAACTTAAAATACCTACCATCAAGTTGATGGGAAGTATTATAACCATCAGTTGACGGATAGTTCTCTTGACTCTGACCGTCCTCATCGCTTTCCAGAGCTCGCTCTGTAATACAAAATAAAACTTACAAATGTGATCAAACACCAAGGAATATATGGTGAATACAAACAAAAAAAGTCAACACACCATGTGGTTCAATAGTTATTTCATCCAAGTTTTTCCCATGGAACTCGCTGATCCTCCCTTGTTCGAGTGCCATGAGAAGCTTGCTTATTTTGGCCAGTTGCAATGTCTTCTCTGGTAGACGATAGAATTCCCGATGAATTCTTATGTCATGGCCTAGGAAGTTGGCCAGCTGGTCCATTTCCGTGTCAGTCAGGTTGAGAACTGTTGACAGGGTGGCAGCATGCTTTCTGAGTTTGGTTGAGGTAAGTGACTGGGGACACTTGGCACCACACCTTTTTGCAAAGTCACGGATACAGTCAGATCCTCTAAAATGTGTCATGGCGCATGGTCTTGCAAACATGTATTCATTTTCTTTTAGAACCCCACAAGCCTCCCTTTGCTTCACAAGGAGTTCTGCTGCATTCAGCATTTTTGGGGTAAGCAGAATTGGGACTGGGCGTCCACGCTTCCCCCTGACAATTATCCTTGTGAAGTGTCTGCAGAGCTTTTTCTCCACTTCTGAGAGGGCCCAATCTACATCCTCATGCGGGTCTGAAGTATCTCGATTGGTAAATGCAGACAAAGGCATCCCTGCTACCTCTCCTTCCCTGCGGCGGTTAAAGAAAATTGTCTGGACAAGACACACTTTCGCCAACTCTGACCAAGCTTTCCCAGAGGGATTTTCAGAGAGAGTGTCGAACCACTCATCTTGCACTTGAGTAAGATATGCATGCATTCCTTGGACATCTTCGGTAAACGGCATGAGAGCAGGCACATTCCACTTTGCTTCCCTGATGTTTCTCAGTGCTGTGGCTGAGATCATCTCATTCCACTTTTCCTGGTGGATTTCTTGAAAATCAATGGCATTCTTGACCATTTCTACGTTGTTGGAGAATCAAGCCTGAGCTTTTAACAGCTTGCTTATTTTAACTAGGGAATTCCCAAGTTTGTTTGCTAGTGATGGAATCCTGAACATGTTTGTTTCACTGTCATAGCCACATGTGGCCTTGACAGCCTTGACGGTCTCAATGTACTTTTGTGGCTTGACAAAGTCTTCCATTACTTTTAACGTTGTGACTTTCCTAGCATTATGAATTAAGCGTCCTAATTCTCGCATCTTCTCTCGGACCTGCTGTTGATTCTTCGCTGACATCCCGCCTTTGTTCAATAAATGTTGCCCAAAGTTTATAATCACTTCATCATTTTTTATTATCTCTGTCACTGGGTCAGGATTCATGGCACTGATGACTCCCCACATCTGTTTACTTATATTTGAAGGCACAGCTGCTGTGTATGTGCACAAAGATTGCACACGGTTCCTTCCGGGTTTGGGTTTGTCTGTCCCAGGTTTAAGTCTACAAGCACGCATGTGTCGCCACAGAACCTTTCTTGTGAAAAGCCCTTGACAAAAAGCACAATGCATAAAATCACTTACCTGACCCCCCTTAGGTGGCCTCTTAAATGGCACAAGTTCACCTGTTCCTGACTTCATAACTGAGGCATTATGAGCATAGTTTCCTCTGTTGCGAAGGAAATCTAGATGCATTTTCCTTTGTTTGGAACCTTTTGGAAAGCTCAGGGCTTTGGCCACATCAGGTTTGTTTTCATGTGCATGTTCTAGATGCCTTGCGATTTTAGGATAAGGCTTGGAACAATATAGGCAATAATGTTTTTTGTCATAAACTCTAATCCCATCTCTTTTGTGGGGGGCTCGAACAAATACATTGTTGTTAATGGACTGACTTGAGGAGGGTTCTTCCTCTTCAGTAACTTCACATGTTTCTCTGTTAATGGACTGACTGGAACAGGGCTCCTCCTCTTCCACAAATTCACATGTTTCTCCGACTAGATCAAGTGGCATGTTGTCTTGTGTGGTGCTGTCGCAAACAGGAGATCCCACTGAGACAGAGAGATTTATCATATCAAAATGAGCCTGAGATGATCTTCTTCCACAACTCTCGTCACCGTCACTTCCAGCGGAATCTGGCACATATTCATCACCGCTTGATGCAGAATCGTATAATTCAGATGGATCTTCCAGGTCTATGTCTTTCATCTAAAAACAGACATAGAATTAATTATTAGTTGACTGGCCAATCATTAATATGAGATAACTCAGATGCTATTTTGATAATTGGTCAATTTAATGGTAACTTATTTAGTTAGTTTAGTCTCGCAACAAACATGGACTTCTTTACAGCACCTCGCTGGAGCTTAATTTCAGAGTAATTACGATGGCAGAGCTGGGGGGAAAAAAGGAGATGCAGACTAAATGGTATTGTTGTTTCACTTGTGCTTCTTGCCGGCTTCATTGTAAACAAATGCACATGGCCGTGGAGTTTGCGACTGTTGAATCATTGTTGTTAAACAAGCACTCCGGAACAATAGGGGGAGATCCACAGATGGAAAAACAGCAAAGAAGCGGACGAACCTGCATAGTTTCGCTTTAAGACCCATTTGAAAATAATATGCAATTACATGGAAATAAATGAAATGTTTCAAGGTAAATGAAAACTTACAAAGACACTTTTGGTGCGGCGAAGTCTTGGGACAAAACACTCACTTTGACACTCTGTCACAATCTGTAAAAGCAGAAGTCCATATAAGATTATATATCATTATAATATTTGCTCTGAAAAAAAATTAAAACTGAAAAAATACAGATATATTACAAGTGATTAGATCAAATGTGTTCAGAAACATTACAACAGTGAACAAAATCCACACTGAACTATAAGTCATAGGTCACTTGTCGAGACATACACACACCTGAATGAAACAGGCTGCGTGGGGACATTTGACACAATG